CCCAGACAGGCGCTTGAGTTTGACGTCATGACTTCATAGCTCTTCGCTGATTGGCCGGTGCGTAGTCTACAACTTTCGGGGTTCTTGCAAACTGGTATTCCGATTCCTGATTCTTGAGAAATGAAATTGAGCGGAGGCACTAGGTGGCGCTAGCTTGGCTAGGAACGCAGACCCATATACATTGATTAAAGGTTCTATATTATGCAAAATGGATTCTTGTGAGGCGCCTCCCTCGGGAGGTGTTCTGGGCATGTCCCACTGGGAGGAGGCCCCGGGGAAGACCCAGGACACGCTGGAGGGACTATGTCTCTCGGCTGGCCTGGGAAAGCCTCGGGGTCCCCCCGGAGGAGCTGGAGGACGTGTCTGGGGTGAAGGAAGTCTGGGAGTCCCTGCTTAGGCTGCTGCCCCCGCGACCTGGCCCCGGATAAGCGGACGAAAATGGATGGATGGATGGATTCTTGTGAGCTTTAAGCCATGTTATAATGTTGTTACCTGATCAAAAACATACCTGGAGTTGTGTTTTGTTTCATTCAGACATATTTGACTGATCTTGCATTATTGCTCTGTCTACATCTTGCAAGCTGAAAATGCTCTGTTCCATGTTCTGATGTCATAAAGCAGTAGTTTTCAAGTTAAGAGCTACCTTTTAGCTTTAGTTCAGTAGAGATTGCCTAATGATTCTAGGGAAGATGTGTGGAGTTTAAAAACACAGTGGAGCACTTCCTCTGTTACCACATGACATCACAAGGTGGAACAGAGTGTTTTCTGTTTCCCGTTTCCAAGATGAACACAGTTACATAAGCAGGGTCTGTATGTTAAACATGTGTGACTCCAGGTATGTTTGTGAGGAAACAACATGACAGAAAATAGCGTATTACAAGCTCTTTAATGCCATACTGAGGGGCATTCCAGGCAAAGAGACAAGCAGGTGGCAGACCCTACTCCAGAAAAATTACACAATCCACCTTTAATCTCCTTCCTCTTCTTTTCCTGGACATCTCTGAACCGTGAATAGTGCCATTTTTGTCCAACCCGAGGCCACTTCACAGAATGGGTTTGAGATCTGCAGAATTGGCTGTGTGCTGGGCCTTTGTGTGGTTCACGAGCTGCAGATGTGCTTTTGGAGCAGTGCAGTGCTGTTCAGTGTAGTACAGCAGATGCATTCATGTCATTGAAATAGTATGTGGTCCTCAGGGAGCACAGGCAGACCGCAAACAAATACAGCCATGACTTTTTTCTGAGTATCAAACAACTTAAGACTAGCTAAAGAACTTTTCATTAAGATATAACAAAGTGGTGTGAGTATTGCATTTGACAGGAAACAATAGGAAAGTGGGGGGATAAAAAGGGATTAGCAAAATAACAAGATGTAATTTGCCTCAAAGATCATACAGGCTGGTTAAAAGAACTTGAAATAATTATGGAAAAAGAGAATGTGTATTAAAATTGACAGTATAAGGCCAATGTTTGTAACTACAACAAGGAAAGTCCCACTGATTGAACTGAGCTGAATTCCTTTTGAGATTTTAAGGGAATCCAGAGAATAAAACATGAAAACTGTTATTGAAAAATTGATGTATAAATTCTGAGTAAATCATACACACATGCCTGTAATAACTTAACTGCAGACCTGCATGGAGTGGTTTATTTCCCAAATTATTGAAAAAATATAGTTTGAATTTGATAATAAATATTACATTACCACCCAAGTAATTGATGTCTAGTACTTAAGGCTTTGTCTCTTATTAAGCTTTTAAAGACTTTGTATGTATTTGGAAGCCTGTGCAATAGCAGGTTAATAAAATGCATAGCTAAGAGTATGGAAAAATAACCAAAAAAAAGGCATAGCCAAGAAATAACAAGGTAGGCTTCTGTTCATATTTTTACCAGCCAGACATGCCATTTGAAATGGCTCTTCTTTTATATCAATAGTGCAAGTATACGTGCTATACTATTCTCAAAAATTGTGTGTGTGTTAATAGTCTTCTGCAACTAATATTGTGATTTTACAAATTTACAAATGTCTAGATTAATGGATAACCACGGTGACAGTAGCTTAGTTGGTAGCCAGAATTTGTTCCCTGATTCGAAGGTTGGTGGTTCAAACTCCATTCTTAACGTAAACATAACTGGGAGGGATCAGATCCACTTGGCCACAGGTTGGTGGTGCAATTCCAGCTCCCTCAAAGGAAATGCTGTTGTTGTGATTGACAAGACTCTTCTCACCTCTAGTGTTTGCACACTGGTATATGATTGTGTGTGTAATGTGGAAAAGCGCTATATAAAAATGTGACAGTGTGACCAATTTGGTTGAAAACTGCTGCTTTGATTTCCACCTGCACTTTTACGCTTTTACATCACCATATACGCCACCACAACACAGTGCTGTGCTGCCGGACTATGTCAAGCCACAGTTAGATGCAGTTAAAAGTGGCAAGCAACACTGTTGTGTCCTACATGTATCACCATTTAAGAAAAAAACAGAACAGAGAACTAAGTAAGTAAAGAGCAGTGGGCGTGTAAGGGAGGATAAGGGAATTCAACCTGGAGAGACTCAGATAGACACAAAGAGAAATTATTTGTTAGTTTTATTGAGTGAATTTTGTTTGGAGCTCAGATCCCAGTAGGAGACATTGCGATGAAGGGTGTAGCTGATTAGATGATTAGGAGATGTCTTCCTTCTGAGGCCTGGTCACTGGAGGTGGTAAAGGTGAGGCCGAGGAGAGTGAAAGGGACAATGCAAGGATGAGGAGAGTGAAGGGGACTCTGAGAGGATGAGTTTAAAGTGGACAGACTGGCGCTGATTGGACAAGGAGGAGTATTTGGTAGACAGACAGGTAGGTAGACGGGAACAAAGTTAGGTCTTCCAGGCTGAATTTACACTAACTCCATAACAGGAATTTTCAGAGCAATGGCTTGACTCCCCCTCACTGTAAACTTCACTTTTAGAGGGTAAATGAGAAGGGAAAACTATTATCACATGGTTAAAACTTTTTAAAAGTCTAGATGTTACATAATACATTTTACAGCACATAAAACTTATTTGTCTTTCACATTTCCACTAATCTTCTAAATAGTAAAACTTTCATCCACATTTTCAAATCAAACATTCTTGTGTCTTCATTTCGCCAGATCCCCTATTTGGGAGGAAGAGCAGCCTAATCCGTGGCGTCTAGCTTGTCCCTTATCTAAAGATTTAAGACCTTAAAACCTATTGGACAACCAAACTCCTTTTTCCACACTTAGGCTAAAATGCAATTACTCTTTCCATAAACTGTTTAGAGGGGGAAAAGTGCTATTTGGACCCGTGACATAACTCTCTTGGAAAGATTTGCTAATTATGTAGGTCAAAGCTAACTTTTTTCCTCCCCCAAGACGCTAGTGATCACTATATGCAACGGCGGACCGCAAACACCGAAATCTGACCTATGTGTTTATAGCTTTCTTAACATTATGCAAACAAACCACTTTAGTAGATTGTGTTATCAGCCCAATGACCTTTAGGGGGCGTATTAGTGTAAACAATAGATTTTAAAGTGAGGATACAGCAGCTATAGCTTTGTTTAGGTTTGACTTGGTGGTCAGCAGAAGCCCACGTTGAGCTGTAAACTTCACGTCAGCTGAGCCAGACTGAAGAATGGACCAGCCTAAAGCCATTTTCACTGCTTATAGATTTTTCTTCATTGGGGATTCATTAGTGGAATGTGGAAGGCTTGGGTTACTCCTGTGAGGGCTGGAATGAATCTATTTAGTCAGAGTTAAAGCAGAAAGGTATTCAATGGGAAGTTTTAAATGTAAATTGGGTAATTATCTTATAGTACTTAACAAAACTGTCGACGCCAAGTTCAACCTCAGAAAATGTTTTGTTTCCGTAGGTTATTGCTGGGCTTAATCTTCATCAAAGTAGACATGTTTCTGATAAAAATAAACTATACCAGGTCAATGTTTTGAGTTACAATGTGTGTGAACTTAGGTGTTTTTGTTTTCTTTATGTTTAATCATACCTTGTGCATTACATTCCGGTGCAAAGGCTGTTGAATTGTGGCTGCCAGGGGGAATTGATAAGTTTGTTTATACAGAGAATTAGTGCTGAAAACGTGTGTGTGTGTGTTGATCCAAGCATGTTTAGCCAAGTAGACCCTTGTGGTTGTCATTATTTGAAAGTTTAACTCTAGAAGTTTGAGGAATGCTCCACGTTTCACTTTGATGTCACTTTTCTCTTTGGAATAGCAAATAGGTTGAAAATGCTTGAAAAGTAGCTATCGTAGATGAAAGGTGTAGTTGACAGATAGTGCTGCATAGAGTATATGTTGGAGGAGCATTAAAACAAAGTAGATCAACCTAAAGTTCCTACAGACTGAGACTTGGTAAAAGTGTGTCATTGCTGGTGCCTACACAGTTAACTTGTTGAACTCCTCACTGAGGCTCTCATTGGCTCAGGCAGAGCTCTAGTGTTTCAGGCAGGCAGAGGCCAGCCCCTTCATCTGGTTCTATTTAAGGCCCCAGTGGCGGCTGGTGTGATTGGCGTATGCACTACCCCCTACTCTTCCTCTGCTCAGCCCAGTGCTGGAGAAGGAGCCTTTTTAGCAGATGGTTTATTTTCCAAGGGAAACCATTTCTTTCTGTGCTGTCCTCAACTGGCTCTCACTGCTTCCCTCTCTGCTCTCTCTCTATTCCTTTATCCGGCTGTGTTTGCCTGCATGTCCTGCCTTAGTTTGTTATTGGACCATGAGGATGCTCTAACACAATGGATTTTCTCCAGATGAGAGCCTGATGCTTTAAGTTAGCAGAGGGAGTGCAGATGCCCTCTCTTGTTGACTTGGAGGTGGTTGCAGCTCTATGGCTAGACTCTCAGGAAGATGCACTGAGCCGTGTGAATCTGGTGATTGGCTGATCTGTGGTGACAAACTAGCCTATGGCACAGCGGGTGCCCGGCAACCGTTCTCGTGGACCTATGGCTGGCAGCTGGCTGACGGCATGTTTTTTCCCATCAACCCCAGGTCTGGACTCCTCCGACCCCATGCTCCTGGAACAATATGTGGTGGTGGCCAACTATGAGAAACAAGAGCCTTCAGAGATCAGCCTCCAGGCAGGCGAGGTGGTTGACGTCATCGAGAAGAGCGAGAGTGGTGAGTAATCACAACAAAGACACTAAGTCAGTTTAAAGTTGATCAGCTCTCCGCTGTGGCGCTGGACCCTCTCACCTCTTTTGTCCACAGCGTGCAGTTTGTAGCCCCATCTGGAGGCTCGCTTTGGCCCACACTCAGCCCTGTTTTTCCCTCTGTTGGTTTAGGCTGGGGTCCAGAATGTTTCCTCTCACAAAAAGAATGTCTTCCAGACTCGTATTAATTATTTCACCCTACATTCAAGGAAAGCCAGTGAGACACGCTGGAGTTAGCGGTGCCAGCTGCGGAGTCCTGAGTCAGCTGTTTCACTGGAAAAGGCTCATTGTGGTTCGGCGTTATCAATCAGCCTGTTGTGGTTGTTTTGAGTTTAGTGGAGTAAATTAAGTAACATACAAGAAGATATGGAGCAATAGTTAGACAAGCATTTCACTGTGTTACTATAAGCAGTTAAACATGGATCCTTGATGTAGGACAATATGCATGCACAATGTTGTACAGTACAGAGCAGATGTTGACATAATGATATTCTTCCTATACTTCAAATATATCAAAGCTTGACACTGCCACAAACTATGCATGAATTAAGCCTCACATGAACAATAGTATAATTTCTTGCCTAAAAGTTTGGTATTTTTTCCATTTTGGATTCTTTATTCGCACAAACACAAATAACATATGATTTAGATTCCCCATTTCATAAACCATATTAATGATTTGTTGAGAAATCTTAACCCATGACAACCAAGAAATACAGGTATAAAACACTGTTTGTATGCATACATTTTTTCTTCCATTTCAAATTAAATATCTACTCAAATAAAATGTTTTGTCACCCTCAGTCATTCACAATACCACATTTATTCAGGGAAGATCTGTAAAATGCCTTGCTCAATTACACAATAACAGTGCCAGTTATTGGAATCAAACCAGCATCTCAACATAGCCTACCTACTGACCTACAACCACCACACTTTACACAAGGAGGAAGAAGATTAGTGTTTCTGTTGTCCATTTAGTTTTAATGGCGTGTAGAAACAGTAAAAAGGACATGGGAAGTTTAGGTTTCATGATGGTTGTAGAGAGCGGCCCCTGGTACACTGGCCTTAGGGAGGGCAGGCAGTGGAGCAGTAGACGCTTTGAAGTCTTACCGTCTTAGCTCTGGCGTATTTGTTTTCACTCCCAGCCCCGCTAGGATCTCAGCCCGATGGGGAGCCACTGCCCAGCGGATATTCCAACACCTTGAAGTCCTTTTATCGGGAAGGGGGGTGGGGGGCTATATAAGTAACCTCTCCTCCTCCATACCAGTGAACCAGACAGTAGGTGAGGACACTTGGGTAGAATGGAATTTTTGGCTGTAAAATAGTCATAAGTTCAGTTTTATGTGTTTAAAATGGTTCATGTATAGGACAAAATATTGTAAAATTACTCACAAAAGTGCAGAAATGTCACTTCATACCTTAATTTAAAGGTTTACAAAATATGCCTTTTCTATTTTCATTTTTACTCAACATTCACAATATTAATCTTTTTTTTAAATAATGTGCCCAGTTCTTACTCATATGTGTGCTTTTTGCAGTAATCATAATCCTCATAGAATACACAGATTTAGTGATTTGGTTTGGTTAGTGTTTTTTATGCCAATACACCTAATCCTATTTATTCAGTTCATGTATAGTTTTTTTTTTTTTTTTCAAGGGGCATTAACAGTCATTGCAAAAAAGTGGACTTACACATTATATGACAGTCAATTATAAATACTTGAAAAGCAGTGTTGTCCAATTCAAACTGTAGTGACAGTTTCCAGCAGCACAGCTAGCAGCTAACCAAATCTGTGCAGCTCCTGCTATGGTGAGCCAGGCTAACTCTGCTCCATTTGGCCGACTGACTTCACCGAGTCCTGCTGCCAAACCCAACAGGGCCAGGTGTGTGCTCAACATTTCAGAGCCCATTACATTCTGTGTCCATTCTTTTGTCTAATGAATACAGACTTATAATGGCTCTGGCAAACTCATCTGGGAATTGTGATTTTGGAATTTGTGCTGCCACAGGTACTAAGAGCAATCTTTTATGTTTGAAATTTTTAAATGAAGTACAGAAGTTTGCATAGTGGCATATGGAGTAGGAGTTTCACCATTCTACTCTATGATGGCATTCCAAAGTTAGTATTTAATTGGTTATGCAAATTCATCTCTGTACCTTTATATAGCTAAAAAAATGTCTTATTCTAACAAACTAATCTGAAGCCTGAATTGAATTATGAAGCCTAATACTGTGCAGGTAACGTTTTATTATCCAAGTACAATAAAAACACAAAACAGTATTGGCAGCTTTAATGGATTTTCTGCATTTCTGATTTAGGTCAGAACAGAGAATAAAGTGGGTCACAAAAAGAACATTTAGGACCCCTGTTTGAAAGCCACTATTCCAGCTTCTAATCATAATGCAGTCTATTCGTTTTGCCATTGACCATTGCATTTGACATCCTGCTGCTTACTTTCTTCCATACATTATCTATATAAATTTACCATAGCAGAGCCCAAATGTCTGTTATTTTCTATATTCTCTTTAAGTGACCCACACCACTGCAGTCTGCTAACTGTATTAGTTTTGCCATTGCCATAGTCCATCAACAGTCATGGTCCTGCTGCTATAGTTCCATAGTGTGGCCCATTGCACTTATTGGGTTTTCCTTACCTTGGATTAGATAATATATGCCTTGGATAGGCCACTGAATCTAGGTCAGAGCTATACGCTAGCTCAGCTTTCTCCACTTTTCCACCTCTCCGTCCTGGGCCCGCCAACAGGATTTTCCACTGCAGTGCTCTCACTGTTTTTCTCTGCTGGTGTAGGGAACTATATATGGCTCGGTATTGTCATTCGTCTTGATCACTTTTGGGTTTTTTCAGAGTGAATCCACAGGTGGGCTCTGACCTGGAGATGCAGCTGTTGAGGCAACCTGTTGAAAATATTTGTAGACTTTATTAGATATATTTGCACTTTTTGCGTATCGTCTATCAGCCTTAAAGGTGCACAGTGTAGCTTTTCTGGTGGAGGATCTGTCACCTGCTCGTCCTAATGGCGATATTGTCTGAAGGCCGTTATACTTACTTTATTCCATGGAGGCAGAAGGTGATGCCACGGGGCCAAGTAACATGTTGCATCTGTGGAGAGGTGAGCTCACTCATAGTAAGTATGCATGTTTTTAGGTCAATAACAACCCACGTTATTGAGTAAGATCGAATGCCATTCTGGGACATTCCAGATAAAATTATAACATCTCCATAGAGACAAGGAGGTGGTGGACCCTCTATTAGAAAAGTTACACCGTGCACCTTTTGGTCTCCAGAAAAGGACAATATTTGGGTGAACCAGCTCCTTAAAGAATACACATAAAGCTTTACTTGAACATTGAGGAGGATACTGCACAAGATGTGACTACAGATCTTATCTTATCTTAGCTATCTAGTTTCTAGTACAAAAAGTTTATGGATAAGTAGTAAATTAAAATGATTGATGAGATTTGCCTGAAAAAACAAAACAAAAATAGAAATTGGCCCTATACATATCCACCCAAAAATGTCAGCAGGCCATATCGACCATAGTTTTTTCTGGGTTCCAAACAACCAAACAAACATTGGTATCGGTCATGAAAAAACACATATACCTACACTTTATTTTAGGGCTGCATGATTTTGGTATATATATATATATATATATATATATATATATATATATATATATATATATATATATATATATATATATATATATATATATATACAGTGCACATTTGAGGGGAGACTGAAATATGAACTGTTGAACAAGAATCAGATGAATTTCAGAACATGTTTGAACAGGTCTAAACAGCACATACAAGTTTTTTCCATAAAGGATATTTTGTTCATAGAAGAGGAGATTTGTGTAGTTATCTAAATAATTGCAGACTGACTGATGATTGTACCTCAAATTTAGATTTACATTCACATGTGAAATACTATCTTTTTTAGATTTATCTTATTGTTCTTGACAGGAAGTTTGTTTCTTGGATTTAACCCATCCTTCAACTTTTTTCTCTGGGTTTCCTCTCAAAAGTAGCAGCCAATTGACAATCTTGAACATAGATCTTGGTTAGCAGTATCTAGCTGTAAAATTGGCTAAATTTAGAAAACAGAATACCCTCAGAAAGCCCACCTAAACATGGAAAGAGGTTGCAAACTGTGTGGTCAGAGTGCTACTGTCCCATTACAATTTTTATATCCTAAAGCAACCAGAATTTCCAAAACATTTTCTTTTCCAAAAGTCACCAAAACTCCAGTGTTAGCGAAAATCATTGACTTGACTACAGGCATCCAGTTACATCACTTGGGTTAGTCAGACTCACATGTTTTAATGATTCCTCGTCATTCTCGCTGCATGATCACTGCCTTTTTATTTGTCTGTTTTATGAGAACTTGCCAAGGGGAGAATACTGGCGCAGGAGGAGAGGAAGAGAAAGAGAGAGAAAAGGAAAGAAAGAAAGAGAGAGAAAGAGAAACGAAGCAGAAAGGGAGAGAGGAAGAGAAGAGAGGGAGAAAGGGAGAGAGAGAGAGAAAGAAGGAAAGAAAGAGAGAACGCGGAATGGGGAAAGAGAGAGCAGAGTGGGGAGAGAACCTAGAGAGAAAATGGAAAAAGCCATTTCCTGCCAAAGTTAGTGGTTGAGCGAGGTTGGTTCATTATATGGGCCTAATGGATCCTCCAGGATGCCTCCTCAGCTTACAGAGATGTTAGCCATAGACCCTTTGCTCCATACAAACACATTGGTTTCAACTTTGCCCTTTAATTGAATAGGGAAAACAATTTGCAGTCTCATGTGGAAATATTGCACTTATCATCTCTATGTAGTGTTGTCATAATACTAAAAGTTCAAACTCAATTTTAGATCCTAAGAGGTAGACTTGATACTAAATACAATTTCCATTACCACTATGATAATGAGCACACTCTTTCTTAAACAATAGAATTTA